GGCATTGTTCGCGGACCACCACCACCCCGCCGAGCCCGCCGCTCCAGAGAAGCACACACGTCCGCGTGTAACAGGGCGCGTTTATTGGGGTTAAGTGCGGGTCAGAAAATGTACGAGAGAGCACGCTGTTTACACATGAGCTGGCCGTGTTCGCGAGCGAAATGCGAGGGGCGCTTTCCGGATCACGTACAGCCGTCATAGCAGCGGCACAGCAGAAGCATCGCGGCACGGCGCACCACCGTCGACATCGTGCCTCATGCCATTGCAAAAATGATTATGCAGCAGTAATAATAATAAGCTTCGTCGTGCGAAACGTAATTCAAAAACACTCCTTTTCGACGCTTAAACTTTTTACAAGGCACAACAAATTTAGTTCCCGCCACTAAAATTACTGTGCATGGCAACAAAATTTTAAAGCTCGGCAACAAAACTTTGGTGCCTAGGCACAACTGTATAGTGCGTCAAAAACTTTCGGTCTCGGGACAAAATGTTTCATGCTCAGCACCAAAAAATTTTCTCAGTACACAAGGGAGGCTACTTTTTGCTAAAAATAGACGCCATAGCTCTAGAGCGAGTACGTCTCCGAGAGAGACTCATTATTGAGACTTATTGGCCGGCGGGGGGCACCACTCCGCCCTTGGGACCGTTTCAGGCCACTAGAGCTGACAGCTGACTCTCTAATTTTGGCGACAAAATCAGCGGCGTGACAGTGTGAAAAAAGGCGCAGCATTTAAAAAAAAAAATCGTTTTTTTCCATTTTTTTGAAGTTTGCCGTTTGTTTGGGGGTGTAGTAGGGGGTTGTTATGGGCTGGTGGGATGGAGTGGTCGCACCTGAGAGGTGGGCAGGCGCCTTAGCGATTGGGGTAGGGTCGTCACGAGAGAGGAGAGTAGTAGGCCAGACCCGGTTCATCTCAGATTCATTCGTTTGTTACGGGAGCTCGGCGCCTGCTGGACTCGGGGTAGGCCGCCCCGCAGTACACGCATGCATTGTAGGCAACGATGTTGCCTACCCGCCAGGCGCTCTGCGAGCTTGCGCAGGCTGAGGCTTTTGCAACTCGGCAGGTTCGTGGCAGCGGCGAATGACAGGCACGCAATTCTTTGGACGATTCACCCTACAAGCGTGTGCGTCACTCACGAGGCAGTGTGTGGTCTGCTTCACACTGAGAAAAAATACTTTGGTTGTTATAACTGAATTAGCGTTCAGCCTGCCCCTCAGTCACAACCATGAGACGTTTTGAGGTGCTGTGCTGGCAGAGCGTTTATAGACTCTCCATCCAATCACATCGGATTATACAGCGGAACCTCCTTTGGTTTTATCTCAGGGGGCAGACTGAACACTATTTTAGTTACAACAACCATATTTTTCGGTCGTTATGACCAAACATTTCCCTCCCTTCTTGTGGGCGGACACCGTTTATTTTCCGCTTCTCACTATCACAATTAAAATTTCTTTGGTCAAGTTAAATGAGTAGGGAAACTTTCATGATCTAGCAAGGTCGACTTTTGTAACTACAGCTCGTGCTGTTAAATTTTTCACACTTGCATGTACGGGTAAGCCCTAATTACTGTTTTTGAGCTGTCTCATAACACCGCTGTCTCCGACATTTAACGAAGTTTCTCTCGGCACAACCGGGGACACAACAGCATGTGCGGTCGATGGTGTTCTCTTCGAGGTGCAACGCGCCGCAGCGCCCGGTGTGTGAGCTCCAGTCTGGGGATCACCAGCACGGCTGGCACGCCGTCGTATACACCGACCTGCCTCGTCGTAACGTGCTCCCGGTAACATCAAGTCACTGGTGAAAAGGGAGAACGGCGTAGGTCCACGGAGTTCCCACTGGACTTACGCCCTCTTCACTTTTTACCAGTAAAGTATGGGGTACGATCCTGGAAAGTTTATAACCATTGCAGTTATGGATGGTACATCCTCTTTTTTCCAGGGAGTCGACAAAACTCACCCCCTGTTTGAACACATTTCAACTGGACAGAGCCCTTTTCAACTCCCCGACGACAGAGGACTAACATCTGGGCAATGTCACTCACCAACTACCTTTCATGGCAGCTCCAAGAAATACGTCCGTTTCAGCGCTTTCTATATCTAGTGCTTTCGAGCAGGGTACTGCTGGTTTTCATATAGGTCGCAATAATGTCACCCGAGGATAGAGAAAGCTCCATTTCGATTTCACCCCCTGACTCTGAAAAAAGACTCTGCGCGAGAATATTTTCCTGCCGCCCGAAAAGACCGATTGGTAAACTGAAATTCTGCAGATCTTCGGCTACTGGACCGTGCTGCTCACACTGGCGGTGGCGGTCTGCATCCCGTCGTACCCCAGCCTCCGCGAGGCCACGCTGTCCATCCTCTGGACCGAGTCCTTCTCCTCGACCATCGTCGGGCTCGGGCTCATGCGCCGCCCGCACTTCTGGGACATGATCCGCAGGATGCAAGAGCTCGTCGCGGCCGCGCTGGCGGACGACGACGACGATCGCGTCGGGACGGTCGGCAAACGTGTGAGCAGCAGCAGCAGGCCACGCGCCCCGAGCCTATTTGAGAGCCCTAGCTAATGGTCTGCACGATAGTTTTCCGATTTTCCGAGCTCACGATGTGACCGTTTTCTCAGTTTGAGACAGTTTGCTCAGTTTTTGACCGTTTGCTTTGTTTTTGACCGTTTGCTTTGCTTTTGACCGTTTGCTTTGTTTTCGACCGTTTGCTTTGTTTTCGACCGTTTGCTTTGTTTTCGACCGTTTGCATTGTTTTTGACTGTTTGCCTTGTTTTTGACGGTTTGCTTTGTTTTTAACCGTTTGATTTGTATTTGACCGTTCGCCCCGTTTGTAAACATTTGCTCAGATTGTCTCCCGTTTGTCTCGTTTATGGCCGCTTGTCTCGTTTATGGCCGCTTGTCTCGTTTGTGACGACCGTTTGCTAGGTTTTTGACCGTTTCCGCTGACCGTTTTGACCGGCAGAGCCAGGAGAAGTGGGCGGTCCTCATGCGGCGCAACGTCATCTGGTCGTCCGGGGCGCTGCTGTGCGTGGGCACGATGATCATCGTCAGCATGTGGCTGCGCGTGCTGGTCACGCTCAAGCCGCTGTGCGCCATCTGGCCGCTCTACCCGCACGCCGGCCCCGCGGCCGAGCCCTTCGCGTCGCTGTTCACCGCCACCTTCATCGCTCTGCCCGTCTGCTGCGTCGGCTTCCTGGTGGCGGCGCTGTCCTTCCTCACCTGCAGCGCGGCCGGTCTGCACCACGCCCTGGCGCAGCGCCTGACCGAGTCCCGGGCGCCGAAGGACACGTACCGGGTCATCGCCATGCACCAGAAGGTGCGCCAGCTCTCCATCGAGTTCACAGAGTTCTTCGACGGCAGTATGGCGCAGCTCATGGCCGGCCCGATCGGCAACTCTTTGCTCGCCACCCTCCAGGTAGTATCTCCCTACTGAAACAAATTTTAATATTTTTGCACGTTTACCGACTGACAACGGCGCCGGAAACAATTCATGTGCACGCCAGGTACTGGCCAACGACGTGGACGTCAACACCTTCTCGCAGATCTTCGTGGTGGTGGTGACGCTGCTGCAGGTGTCGTACCTTAGCCAGGAGCTGTCCGACTCGAGCTACGCCCTGCGCAGGGTCGCCTACCAGGTGGGCGTCGAGGCCCGCACCCTGGCCGAGGCCCGCGCCCTACGGCTGGTCATCCTGGTGGCGGGCAGGACGCCGGCGCTCAGCTGCAAGGGGCTCGGCCGGCTCAGTCTGCCCGCCGCCGGCCGGGTCATCCGCGAGTTCTACTCGGCCGTCAGCGTGCTCGGCCCGCGGTACAACAAGTAAACTCATCGCACCACAGTAAGTACAGCCTTATTTTCCTTTTTTTTGTGCCTCGCGTCACTTCTATTTTCGAACATTTATTATCGCTTTGTGTATCTTTTTCCACGATAAGGACGGCAGGTGTGGGTGTGTTTGCGCCTTTTCGCAGTTTAGTTTAGATTAAGGACGATGGATAAAAAGGATCCACAAATAAAATCATGACCCAATGCAATTCATTTCTGTTTACGACGCGACCACGCATACAAGCCTTTATGGCATCATCGGCTACTAATAATGACAAATAAAAATGGGGAAAACGGACTATATTTTTTTGCTCGTCGAAGTAATAGTGCTGCTCGTGACGGTAGCTCCAGGTACACAATGCGCGGGGGAGGGAGGGGGTGGAGTCAGTTGCGCAAGAATCGTGCCGACCGAGTCCCTCGCGGCGCGCGGACCGATTGGCTCTACTGCGATTGACACGGGGGGCGTGCATTCAATGGCGCCGTGGCCCGTGGCGCGGCTTTAATGGAGCAGTGTGTCTGGGCAGGCGCGTGGTAGGAACGAAGGAAGAAGATAAGGAGGATGAAGATGAAGAGTTACATGAAGAGGACAAAGAAGCTGAATAGGAAGAAGCTGAAAGAGAGAGAAGATGAAGAGGAAAAAGATGAAGAAGATGAAGATGAAGAAGATGAAGAGGAAGAAGATGAAGAGGAAGAAGATGAAGAGGAAGAAGATGAAGAGGACCCTAACAGAAAACGAAGTCCCTACTTTGTCCCTCTCATGTTCCAAAGTTGTCCCTCAGTTTTTGGGGGACTAAAACGGGATTTCAAGCGAATCGTAATTCCTCAGTAATCCCTTTTGAGTCAAATCCCTCCGAAGTCCCTTTGCTCGGTGATTTTAAATTTTGCATCATTCACAGAACATAGTGAAGGAGGCTTCCTAGGCAATTTTTAACACGTCAGACGACATCAGAGGGCCTGTATGTATACTACATATATGTATATAGGCACCTATTGTTAGTATTTATAGGCATGTTAGAGCTCTCTAACGGCCTGGAGCAAAGATTGGTTCAGAGCGTCGGCGGAACTTCCGCGGGATTTCAAACGTCCAGGGAATATGAAATCCCTAAGTCCTATTTTGCTCCCTTTAGGAACTTCCAAGGAACTTCGAAAAGGGTCATCTGAGGGATTTCAAAAAAGGGACTTCAGAGGGTGGTCGTTTTCTGTTAGGGGAAGAAGATGAAGAGGAAGAAGATGAAGAGGAAGAAGATGAAGAGGGAGAAGATAAGGAGGAAGAAGATGAAAATGGTGAGTAAGAAGTTGAAAGGAAGAAGATGATGAGGAACAAGATGAAGAGGCTAAAGAGGAAGAAGAGGCAGAAGAAGAAGAGGAATAGGGAGAAGAGTAAGAAGGTGAAGAAGGTGAGATAGAAGACGGCGGAAGAAGAGGACGAAGGAGATGAAGAGGAAGAAAGAAAAAGGGGACAGAGAAGATGAAAAGGAAGAAGAGAAAGAAGAGGCCTGACCCGGGGCGTGTGCGCCTGCCCTGCTGCCCGCAGCGGCCTGGTTCGCGAGAGATGCAGGAAGCAGGAACTGGTCCAAGTTGACTCCTTGATGTATTCGCGAGCGCTGCAGAAGCGGCGGCGGCGCCCAGCTGGCGGGTCTGCGCGCACACCAGGCAAGCCAGCCGGCCGGGGCCGGGGGAGAGTGACAGAATGGGGAAGGCCCCTACTGACCCGGGTCAGTATTTGGGAACGGAAACGGGAGCAGCTCGCAAGCAAAAAAAGAAAAAAAGTGGGGGATGTGGGTCCGTGGAGGACGCGGACCTTAAAGGGTTCCCGCGCTGCCATATATGCGGCCGAAAATCTCGGTCATGATCAGATCAAACTGACCTCCCCTGTTGACCCAAAAGACCCATGGGTATGGTTACAAGGTAAGTGGCAAATTTAGAGACAACACTATACTTCCGCAGCTCGGCTCGAATTTAGTTTGGGATCGTGAGAACCCGTTCGGCAAGTAAGTCGTAGGCAAGGTGGTCGTGATCGCTATGCAATCGAGACTGTTCGCCGCGGTCCGACCCTTTGGACCGACCTCGCGGTGCCTCACGGCCCGTCCTGACCAATGAGTTACGAAAAACGCCCGCGACCGCTCGACAGACGAAGCGAGCCATTAAACTGTGTGACAAAAGGTTGGACAGTTGAAAATAAAAACGTCCGTCCAACCTTGAAACCTAGGGAGAGCACGCATTACTCAAGGCGTTGCAAAAGGGAAAATTTCACATTTTTTACGCATCTTCATGTCTGGAGTCTGGATGAGTTTTCACTATTCAGGGAGACGCAATTGAAATTTGTCGCTGCAGTAACTTGTTTTCGTGTGATCTCCCCTCTTTCTTGTGGACAACCTTGTCTCACGTGAGACGTACCGGTACACACAACTGCTCTCGAATCTGTTTCACACATATTCACATTCACACTCTAAAAACCGGACGTTTTTCAACACATACAAACACTGCTTCAAAAAAGATGTACAGTTATTTCATCAAGCAAATGATGTGTTAAAAACTGTAGAGTGGGCAATGTTGCACTTTGCCACCTTCTTATAGTGTCTACTTAAACTTAAGTATTGTAGCTTACCTTATAGTGACTGCGAGTAGGACGATAATGAGTCCCACCAGGACCATAGCAATCAGCACCCCGCACACAATGTACACGCTCTCGCTGATCGGCGCATCTGAAACACGAAAAAACCATTTACCCTCATGGCAGTTGGTTACGGGGTCTAAACGATTTGAATTTATTTTTGACAAATTTCGAAAATGCAACAAATAAGTTTAGAAACGACCTGTCAACGCAAAATCTATGCAATTCAAGAGTGAAACTTTTCCAATTGTCAATGAAAAATATAAGACCTAGCAAATCCCAATTTCTTTCAGAATCAGATTCAGTAAGAGCAGTCACGCAACACCCGTGACCTCTTCTTCACAAATCACAGCGTATCAAACAACACTTCTCGATTCAGTGACCATTTTGTTGTTAGTGATCGGTCGATATTGAATGGCGTATACACACTCCGCGCGCGCATCACTTCCAGCCCATTCTACGGCAACGACGACGCCACAGGCGTGCGAATCGTTATCCCCCCACGCCTGCGCTCGCACCTTTCCGGGTTTGGATGCTCCTTCGCGAGGATCCCGAAGACCCCCGAGGCCGACGGCGCGTGCGCGCGTGGCGCGTGCCGCCCTCGGACCATCTGCGCAGCGCGGGGCGTCCGCCGAGCGGTAGAAGAAGTCCTTTCACTTTTCTCACCGTTTTCGCTACACCGTGAAAGTATCTTTTTACAAAAGTAAAAATGTTTTCTTCTGTTTTTTTTGCTCACAGTTTTTGAGCTGTGAAATTACATTGCTGACCGCGTGGAAAGAAAATGTCTACAATTGCCATCGTAGAAAACAGCAAGAAAGACGATGCATTATAAAAACAAAACCTTTAACATTTTGTGATCTGTATTCGCAACATTTACAATTTGCGTTTGTAATTTACGATACAAATTCGCAACCGTTTGCACCCAGAACCCTAGAAAATATTTCCGAAATCCTTACCATTCGAAAAAAAATAATAACAGTGTACGAGAACGCCGCAGAGGCCGGCGAGAAAATGCCAAAAAGAAGAGAGCAGACCTTTCTCCCAAGAGCCGTGTTCTCGAATTACGTCATTTTAAAGTAGAGCCTTTCCTTTCGCCCCTGGGTATATTCCTATTTTTTTATTAATTAGGCCTACTATCTTTTGTTTGCCAAGACTGCGGTCGTCGTCGTCATACATAAAAATTTACAAACGGATTCTCTTTGCATTTAACAGGAACACGTAGGTAGTGTGTGCGCTGAACTCCCTGCCTCTTAGTCTAAGGTGCGGATATCTTGTTTTACTGTTAGATTAGCATAGTAATATGAAAATTCCCAAATAATTTTACAACAAAGGTTTTTATCCTTTGACTGATAAGTATACTTTCGACGTGTATGACAGGCCGCGGCCTCCTCAGGTAAGTGCACTCGCCAAGAAGCCATCACCGTTTGAGGAGGACCACCTGCAGCCCCCCTTTCCTCGCAACGACCCTGGCCCTGAGCAGCAGGTTCACCCAGTCCACACATACACACACACACGCACACACACAGAAGTAGAGACCTTGCCAGTGAACACATAGAGCAGTGTCCGCAGACCCGGCTGCCCCTACGAGGCTGTTCACCCGCGCTTACTTAGCCTCCCCCCTCCCCCCGCTATTCCCTTCCTTCATTAGTTTCGAGTTATTTGCAACGCAAATGATGAGAACAGCGCTATAGAGCGGAATGAGAGTAAGTGAGCGTGAGGAAGAGAGGAAGAGGGAAAGATCGAGAAGGAGACGGGGAGGGGGCGGGGGAGAGGGAGAGAGGG